TATGTTAAAGGATGCTAAATGTCTAGCAACCCCCAGATCATCCAAGTGGTTCCTTTCCACTTGCTAAGTGGTTCTTTGGTTTAGGTTGTTTTGTGGGTTTGTGGGGGAAGGGTTGAGTGGCACAGTGCACATCCACTTCACAGCGCGACCATCCACTTCACAGCGCGACTGATTTTTCCGCAGCCCCACTGCGGTGATGGTTGAAAGTTCACGGATCACGGATCAGGTGCCGTGTCAAGTCAAGGAGTTTCATGCTCCAGGAGGAACCTGGGATCAGGATGGATTGCTTTCCGAATTGAAGAACTGGTGACAGGTGACATGAAAATGTCAAAAACGGATTGAATAGTGGATTGAATGTTAAAATGGCAAAACCGAGTCGCAGGGCACGTGCTTCTTGAGCCGCAGCAGCCATTGCCTCCTTGTCCATCCCCTGACTCTTGGCTTTCTTCCAGGCAGTGGAGTAGACCTCACGACTAACAAACACAACACCCATCCCACTCACCCATCACCTATCATCCACCATCGAATGAAACTGATTTAGTGACCCTGACATCGATCACCCATCCCACTCTTGGCCAAGATGCGGAGTGGGCTTTCTTTTCCACTTCAGTCTTCTCACGCCGCGCACGTGGCACATGCTGCACATTCGCACAGGGTTCCTTCATCTTCTGGGATCGCTTTGGAGCGGCTTTTGGCTTCGGAGTCGTTTTTTGCTTCTTCGAAGCAGCTTTTGCGTTGGCTGCCCTTGTACGCGCAGAGCTCTTCGCAGAAGCTTTGGGCTTTGCTTTGGCCGATGGCCTTGCCTTAGCTAGATATCACAAAGCCCTGGTACACATCATAGGAAACGGAAATTGTACTGCGCAAATATTCTAATTATTAGTTGAAATCAATGCTGATGTTTGCCGATGTATGTGTTAAGTCAAGAGGCTTCAGGTGCACGCACTTCATCTAAAGCCTACAGCATACTGTCTACAAAAACACACATTCTCACATGGTGTGTGAAGGATTTCCTTAAGTGCTTGCACACAGTTGGTCTAGCCTCCAGATCTGTTGGTGATGAACGTGATACATCACCACTAGGAACTTCCACGGATGCCTGCAAGTTACAGATAGACATGCAAGAAACATGCACGGTTCAACGGATAGACTTTTCCTGCATTTGTCCAAAGTTTGCGCCATGTAGCGTCGCGCCTCACCATCTTCAAGGCCGGCTGCAAGGTTGTCACTGCCGTTCATACGTCGCAAACTGTAGCGCTCCTAAGTTGTTAGACTGTTCTTCATACTTGGTAGGTATGGTATGTTGTTTTTGACCCAGCGTTGCGTTATTCTTTTTTCAAGTACTGGTTTATTCACGTTTAAATCACAGCCAAACATCAGCTGGAGGGGCCTTTGATTCAGCGCTGCTGGACAGACCAAGCTGGTTGTCAGGGACTGGTGAATAATCCTTCTCGGTGACCACCTCAAGGCTTTGAGGTGATTCATGTGGAACAGGTTCAGGAAGCTCAAGGACCTGACTCCTCAGACGAACATGGACGTAATAATAATCTGTTTGGGAAATGTTCACCTCAGGTGGATTTGTTCTCATGCTTGAATCATCGCCATATATCGCCAAGTTTCTTCAAAGGTTCCTGAGAAGGTTGATCCATCATAGAAGCATCTTCACCAAAGAGATCCTCCTCCGTCATTGCGGCCATGTTCCCATCCATGGTAGCATGATAATCAAACTGCTGATTGACATTTTCAGCCTGCCATTGAATCGGACTGGGGTTAGCATTGCTGAAAGTTGTCAGTTCAAGTGCAGGTGAGCAGTCTTACTATTACTATACCAGGTGGCCTAGAACTTGACCTGCAATATCTGCAATTTCCATACATTGTTGGGAAGAAAGTCTTGCTGTGCAGAGAGCCTGCATCCCACTGGGTGTGGGTGTGTCGGAATCACGTACTTCATCCATAGTGTAGCCATCAACCGGCTGCTGGTAGGAATTGGATGTCTCTGGGTAGTTGGTTTCCTGACTGATCAAGCATACCGCATACCAATACTGTATTCTAGTTGTTACAGCACTTAGAATCATTGAAAAGTAAACGCTAGCCTGTGCATTGCATCGTTCCAAAGTAAAGTATACAGCCAGCCTGCGGCGCATTGGGGTCCTGTCCAACAGTCTCAGACTTCTTGGCGGCCCGTTCCTCGACGCCATCCATGCGACGACATTGTGTCTCTTACTGTTCTTCTAATTTTCATTGTTTTGTGTTGTTTTCTACCAAGTGTCCCTCTCATCGATCAGCTGGTTCAGCTCCTCAATCTCCCTGTCAAGTGCAGTGTATCAAAAGGTGCAACTAGACTGAACTCAAAACAATTCAACGCAACTCATCACGACAACTCAAACCAACTCATCAACTTGAACTCAAAACCAGCTTCAAGCCTGAAAAGCTCTGCCTGTAGCTCTGGAGTCATCTCTTTGCAGGTTTCTTGGGAGTCATTATCATTCATCTTTCGCTGACATTCAAGCTCGGCCACATTCTCAATCATTTGCGAAAACGGCAAGTCATCCTGAAAGCATGCTTTGGTGACATTTCAAGTGATTGGAATATGACCGGATATTCCAAGTGTCCTTCTTCTTGGCTGGCTTCTTCGTGGCTCCCCCTTTCCTGGACATGTGTGTTTTTGGGCACGCAAGCAAAATAGGGTGAAAAGGCTGCAGCCGAGCCTTGTGGATGCAGGTCTTTTTTTTGACTTCAGATTTGTTGCCATCTCCCAGCAACTCATCTACACCTTCAAGGCCAAAATGGCCGTTGCCATCGCTTTCATCTTCATCGTCATCTCCATCCCTAAGAGGTTCATGGTGTGGGTCACTTTCTTCTTCTTCTTCCTCCTTCTTGTTACCCTTCTTCTTTCCAGGCTTCTTAGTCTTCCCAGGTGATTTTGGTTTGGACGATGAAGACTTGCCCTTGTTCTTGTTCTTGGCTTTCCCTCCATTCGGTGATGACTCAGAGCTATCTCCAACCCTTGGAGGAACATTGTGGGCTGACCCCGAAGATGTATTCGTAGGGCCTAAGAATTCTGGCTGGTTGTTGTTTGCAGTACAAAAAACCTAAAACCAAAATACCAAGAACTTAAAACCAAAACGTGGACAAGGCACCAGCAAGCTTACGTGCGGATTCACCAGGTGCGTTGCAATGTGCTGCTGCTGCTGCCCGTGATTGTGATTGTGCCGGGCGCCTTGGTGCATCCTGCGAAAGCATCCTCGCCAAGTTGAAAGCCTCAGAGACAGAACCATTCCACATCGACCCTCCAATGAAGACAAGCGTCATGACTATTCTACAGGTTTTTTTCACAAACAAGAACGCCTACAAGAAGTTTATTGGTACATAGTCTGGGCACCGGTGGTTTGAAGCCCACTGTCGGAGACACAAATTCGACGTCGCTGTCGGACATCACTCAAAAGGTCTAAGTAGGCGCCACCCAACCGTTGAACCCACTCTGCAGCAGTGAATATGCTGAGTTTGGCGGTGCAAATGTGTTTGTGGAAGAAACTCAAAATCACTGAAATTCAAAACCACTGAATCGGTTGTTATGCAGTGCAGTTCACTGCAACACTTTTGGCAGTCAGCTGCACGAGCCAGGTTTGAGGGTCATGTTCTTGAAGCCAAGGTGGCTTTACACGGCCAGCAAATGTAACGTCTAATCTCAGTGGGACAAAACGAGAGTCCCCTTGACTCTCTCTCCCACCCAATCACACAGGAGGTCCTCAGCCACACGCCCAACAAAAATAGTGTTTTTGATTTCTTGGTTTGGTTGCACTCTGTATGACGTATACATACATACATACAAGTATATACAAGTAAAACCACTATAGTTTGGGCCCATGTGGATCCGACGCCCCATGTGAATCCTGAGCATCACCGGAGCCAGCTACATGAGGCGCACATTGGTCTGATCGACTGCAAGCCCGCCAGAGAGGCAGCAAATGGGCCGGATTGGGGTCAAGGTTTTGCTGCCTTCCGTAGATTCCAGCCTTCGAAGTGTTCATGAACAAATGCATTCAAATTTGATCAGGGCCGATTCTTTAACTTGGTAGGATCCCTGGTAGGACAAAAATTGTCAACTGTCCCAGGTTGAGGCATTGGCCAAAGCACCAAGAAACAAACAAGTTTGGTCACCAACTAGGCCTCATCCGCCAGCCAATCACTAGCTTCGAGTTGCCCTTGAGCTTCGCTAAGTTTAGCAGGGCGCCAAAGTTCTTGAACGTAGGGGATTGATCCTGCTTTTGTTTCTTCTTTCCTTTTTTCTTCTTTCCCTTCTTCTCATCACCCTCTTGCTCCTTCCGCTCGTCCAGGAGAAAGCACAAGGGTTTGTCAGCCTGTAGAACCTTTTGCTCACCTGTGCCGGTGAAAACGTGATGGCTCATCTTCAAAGCCACCTGCCAGGAACAAGCAAGGTGCTTTAGGAGAATGATAATTTAATGATAACAAACATTTAAAGATAAACACATGTTAGCTGGTGGGTGTCAAAGTAACCACCTCCCCATTGTCTTCCAATTCAAGGAGGATCTTCTTCAGCATCACTGGGCGCTCCACCGAAGGACATTTCATCAAATGTTCAGGCAAGTCCTTGCGCTCAATGAGGACCAACATGTCCATTGCAGCGACAAACTTGACCCATCGGCCAGCGCTATCCTGCATACATTCTGTAGCTTCCTGGCGGGTGATGTTGGTCAAGTTTTATGTGGGGCAGAAACAAGCATCCATTTTTCCATTGAAGCAAGCTGAGTTCATTGTGTTCACTCTGTATTTGTTTTGAGGTCTGAAATCTTTAAGATAAGATTCCTTTCCAGATCTCCATTCTCCACTGCCAAAGCTAAACCTGGGCAGAAGTTGGGCAATCAATGAATCAATCAATTTCAAGCTGACATGACGTTTGCTCTTTCAGTGTGTGTGTGTGTGCTGACTAGAAGCAGCTCGCGGTGCGCCTGGAACTCATTCTTGGCTTTGGAAACAAGATAGATAGAGTTGCCATCGCCACAAGTAAGCAGTTCCGCACTGTTGTTCAAAGTCATCTTTTGCCTTATCTCGAGGTGGACAGATATGCTGCCACAACATGCCATACCAACCAACCAACCAACCAACCAACTAACAAACCAACCAATCAACAACTACTATAATTACAGTAACTATATAGTTAAATGACTAGTAATATTATATAGAATATTTATTATTATACTATATATATCCAATATGATATATATCCAAGACGTCCAAGACATCAAAACTCCTTTTTTGGGGGGCATAGCACACAATGACACAAAAAACTAAACAGCCAGTAAGAAGTCACGGGCTGACCAGTTGGGAGATTGCTGCTCCGTGCAGGTGTCCCCATCTTCAAGCTTGATCTTTTTGGCCGGCGCTTCATCGGCGGTCGGCTCAGTCCTCAAAAATTGGGCCAGAGGGCTGCAGGGTGGGCCATCTGTTGGAGTTGAAGCCAAGAGCTTTGGGGCCAATCATTTCATGTTTGAAACCAAGTTGTTCTTAATTGAAACCAAGTTGCTTGACTTCACCTTGAAGAAAGTCGCCGTCAGGGTTGAACTTGGCATTATGGTCGGTGATGATCCGCGTAGCCTGTTCCTTGGTCAGCTCTTCGTCGAGCCAACGCTGAGCATACACTTGTAATACCGCAAGCTGGCTGGAGTTGACCACAGAGCACACCTTGTAGTCTTTGTGGACTGTTTCAGTAGCTCCACCCTTCAAAGCTGCAAGCACCGGACCATAATCCGGAAACCCTGGCAGCTCCAACTGCCCGGATCTGCAGGCATTGTGCACACTGTTCGCCACTCGGGAGGTGAGTTCATCCACACTAGGTGCATCCAAAAGCACTGAAGCGCACATCACCCGATTTCCTGCTGATTGTTCCTGCAGGAGAGTAGTTGTAAGACATGTTGAACAGTTTGTTTCATTACTTTCCCAACAAGACCTCTTAGTTTTACCGCAGCTCTTTCTATCGTATTCAACTGACACAGAACTACTTCCAGGGACACCTGAATGATCAAATTGGTACCTCCCCCCCCATCTCCTCCAGGGCTGCCAGACAAGCAAAGCCATCAAATCCAGTAATGTCAAGCAGCAGGGTGGTGCCAACAGAAGGCGGTCGCAGGGCATCCAAAGTCTTGTGGATTATGCTGGTTCCACCGGCGACCTGACAGGATTTCAAACTCTGACCATTTGTTTAAATCTTTTCTCGTTTGGTTCTACAGCAAGACTTCTAGTGTTTTTGGTTGGGCAATAGTATGGCATGTGGGAACAATGGCATGAGCAACGCTCTCACATGCCTGGCGCATTTCCTGGACGTCTGTGAGAGCTCTGCCAAGGTGTGGCAAGCTCTTTTTGCTGGATGGTCCCTGCGAGGCTGGCAGGACAACACATGAGGACAATAGTTGATAAGTGGGAACTAACATGAATAGACAAATACATAGAACATCAAACGATCAAAAACATATTTGGGGAAGAAGCACCTCTGGCTTCCACATGTCAGCGCGTCCAAGCATTGTGATTTCGAATTGTCCCCTGCTTGAAAGCCTTGGTGCTTTTGAAGATGTTGTTCTTCTCGGCCTTGGAAACTATGAGCAGCCCACTGAGTGTTCCATCTCGTTTTCCATAGATGGACTCCTTGGATCATGTTTTAGGAAGACAGCTCAGGGATTTTGGAAGACTGCTCAGGGCTCAGGGAAAATAATCATGAAAGGCTAAGCCACGGAATCAAAGATCATCGTCAAAGGCCGGCAGTGAAGGCTCAATTCTTTTGCAGATAGGGCCTTCCTTACTGCATGGGGAAGAAGCGCTGAGAAAGAACATGATACAATTTGTAGGCATAGACGCCAACACTCAGTACTCAGTACGAGTGTTTAGTGATCATTTAATTTGCTTCCATCTGTGTTGATTGAAGCATTCTACAAGTTTTCTTTATCCAAGCATCTCAAGCTGATACCGCACATCTCGGACCTCAATGTCCTCAGCGGCCTGGTTCTCATCATCGCTTTCATCATCTTCACTATCGGGTTCTTCCTTCTTCGCAAAATCGTACTTCTCATCCTCATCCTTGCGTGTTCTGTCCCCATCTCGCCTAGCAGGAAAGGGTTCAGTTTTCAAGGGTGGGGTATGATGGGAAGGTGTTTAGTTGGTATGATGTACCGGTCAGTCATTAAATCCTGAAAAGTAGTTCATTTCTTTTGAACTGATGTTTCAACTGAACCCCACGTTCGGTCAGCTTGGCCAGCACGGTTGGCATGGATCAGAACTGCAATCCCATTTCTTTTGTATTTGTGGAGCAGGTTGGCCACAAAGGTTGTGACCCATTCGCGCTTGTGCGCCGTGAGGATCCCCTGTGATGGCAGGTTGATCCAACACACCACGCAGTGGTCGTCAACATCTCGCACTTCAGCCACATCTTGAAATGTTTGCTCGGTCCATTCGTTCACCATGGGCATCAGGGTTGTCAAGGAATCTGCTGCCCTCCCCGCCATGATCCGCAAAGACGATGACATGTGCTCCCGAACGATGTCCCATGCGCGGTTGTGCTGACCTGAAGTCAGACAAGAAGATTCAATACAAGACCTCACCATGTGGGTAACATACAGTGGAGGAGGCTGTAGTGGTTCAAGCATTGGTGACATTGTGCCTCCAGCTGCTTGATCAACTTGTTCCTTGTTTTGGCCTGTGTCTTCTCTTGCCTCACGTGCAGGTGGATGGGCTATACGCAGATCTACAAGTGCATCGATGTTCCCAGTGGTGGATTGGGAGGGTTCTTCTTTTGCTGGGGTGGATGGCCACAATCCCACAAAGACTAAACAGTCTCAAAACATTCCAAACAATTAAAATAGTTGGAGATCTAGCTTCAGGGTAAGGTAGCAATCCCAAGTCTGGCAAAAAATCCTTGCCAAATCTTTGCGGCGAATGACAGAATCGATGCTTGCTCAAATTGGATCTGATCATTCTGCAGCTGTTCTTGCCAAGATAGGAAGGCCGCTTGCACAGATTTGGACAAGGCGTTTTTTTGCCTATCCTGGGCTTCACTGATGAAGTTGTCCAGCGTTGTTCCTCGAACCTCATTGAGAGCACTGCTTTTGGGTGAAGGTTGCAAGGAGAGAACACACCTGAAGCACATTTGAGTTCTCCCTTTTGGAACCTACATGATCTTTCATTTAGAGCATCTTAATAAATCTAGAGTGTCACAACGGGTTATGACATCATATTGGAACTTAGGGCATCCACTTCAGATATGCTTCATCCATGACATGTTACTATGCATCTTTTTTCACCAGCCTCTAGGACAAAGCTAATGCGCCGCCAGTCGAACTCTTCCCCGGATTTCATGATCGTCCCAAGGTCTGAATCAAGTGACCTCAGATTCTCAGGTGCAAACAGATTCAGGAAAACACCTTAAATATAGGAATCTATTTATACATCAAAAAAATCAATCAAACCCAGTTAAAGATTTCCATACACTGGAAGTGATCGAGTTTCCAGAAACCCAATCACAATTTCCTTTTGGCGGGAGGAATGAATCATTGAATATTGTTGGAGGAAATGCACCAGAAATGATTTGTATATTTTTCTGTTATGAAATTGCGATCGAGTTTCCAGAAACCCAATCATTTCTGGGATGTAGATTTGATGGCCCGGGGGCGATCCAATCGGCTCCGGCCAAGTTATGTTCCGGATTGTGATCGATGTTCTGGAAAATCAATCACATTTTGACATGTCCATTTGGCGCCGGCCAAATGGCTGGAGCCAAAAATATTTCAGGGCCAGTGATTTGTTGGCGCTAGCCAAGTGGGGGTCTCAAAACATGACGGGTTCCGACAGGTTTCTCTGGTCAATGCATCCAGGATTCCCCTTCATAAACAACTGCTGATGTTGTTCCATGACGGTCGAGGGGAACTCTTTGGCCATCATCGGTGATAGGTACAGCCAGAGGCAGACCACATCAAACAGCAGGAGCTGCTGCTGCTGCTCGCTGAGCTGCGCGTTCTTCTGCAAAATCGGGTCCAATAGGGGTCCAATAGCTTTCAATCGCTTTCAGTTCTACAAACAACATTCTATCATGTTGAACCATGTTGAACCCTGTGCCTTCGCTTTGTTGGCTGCATCTTTGCTGACAGCCCGAGAAAAATCCTAGCAGGGACGTAATAAGGGAAAAGGATTCAATATGATTCAATGTTCAACAACAAGAAGTCAATATGACATTTCAATAGTATGTGTCCTGGGTCACACGCTTCACCCAAAGGATTGTTGTTGCATCCGTCACCTCGAGGATCTGTTGGGAAAGAGGTTTCCCTGCGTAGACAGGACTTTCCATCCTGCTTGTGGATCCTGGGACCCAAAAGTCCATGGTGAGGATCTCAATCGGCAATCCTTTGGAACAAGAATTGCAAATAACATTGCAAATAGTGGCACACTGTGCATGCTTTCACAATAAGGGCAACTGTCCTGAGCAAGCATGGGTGTATGAGTCGTAGTGCGCATGGATCAAGCGCACAACGTTTTCTGGGGCTTTGAGCCTTGGATGGAAAACACAACTTTGAAATCAGTTCCATATTAATTGGCGTTCATTGGGGCAATGCATACCAGTGCATCCAAAAAACATGTTGTAGCACATCACCTTCTTTTGCTGGTCGATTCGATGTGATTTGAGGGTGCACAGCTTGTTGTATTCGGCCACCGTTTTGTTAAGCAAATCCCGGGTCGCTTGCCTTGTGCCAGGCCTCATTTGTCGCTTTTCCAATTCAATGGCCATCTTCAAATCACCATCAATGTAATGGCGCTGGGCGCCACCTTCTCTGCCGTGACATGTCCGATTTCTTAGTTGGCCAAGAGATCAACAACAAGTTGTACTGACACTGATTTGCAAATAATCGTTTCTCAACGGTGGTTTTGCAACCAAGTTTCTCAAAGACTGAAGGTAGTGCATGGATGGGTTACTGTAGTATGTAAATGAGCACCTGATCCACCGGAAGCTGGCCAGCATTCGGAGGACAGCTTCATCTTGAAGCTCGCAGCTCTCAGTCCATTCCTTGGCGGGGCAGTGAATGGCAGGGAAAAAACATGGACCTCCACAAGAGAAACATAGTCTCAACAAGCTTCCAGCTCGTGAATGAAGGCAAGGATTCCAACCATTATCAATATCTTTGTCTGGCCATCTATGAAGCCAATGGTGCAGGGCGCAATCTCCCGAGTTGGCCCAGCATGTGGGAATTTTATGTCCACCGATTCTCTTGGGACATATCCTCCAAGAAACTCACGGAAGTGCTTGCTGAACTGGCTGTTCTGCGGGTAGTCTCAGGGTGGTTGTAAATAGACATGAGTTTATGTGAGGCTCATGCATAGAACGTTCAAACATGTTCAAACACACATTCATGTTTGGCCAACACCAGGCATCCGTTCTTTGCAGAGGGTCCGATGTCAAACAGGTGCAATGGAAGCCATACTTCCTGAAGACTATCTTGTGGAACCAGGCTCAGAGTTGGCCGTGATATCCCTTCTGGATCAAAGCGCCCCACCACCAAGCTGTGAACAACCTGAGTTGGAGTGTTGATCGCACACATGATGGCCAGACTCCAAAGTGACGGAAACCCAGGCCTGTTGGAAGACATTGCGATCTTCGAAGACCTTGTTGATGTGGTCGCCCAAGTTTCCTTTCTCAAGGACCTGGGGGTACAGACCCACAGTATTGCCTTTGCGCTGACAGTGGTTCGTAGAAATCCAAGGATCAGGCCGTGTCAAAGTAGGAGCATAGCTGGCCGAGCGGTTTCTCTGAGTTCAGCTCAGGCACTGCCATAACGGGATAACCCAAAATTCCAAAATATGAGAGTCGTGCCACAAACTATTTATTAATGATACCTTCACTGCTAGATATCACATTCCCTCAAAGGCATCCATTATGATAATCCACAAATGACATAAAGAGTCATGTGCTTGAGTGGCAGGCATATGTGCAGCAGTGAGAGGGATTGTGCAATGAGAAGTGCAAAGATGTACAAAGCGCCAAATGGAAAAACTGGACTTGATGCAGCGCTAAGTTAAAAGCTCTTAAACATCAAAGTGTTTCTCACAGAGAGGTGATCGATCCTGCAGTCAGCCTGGACTCCCCACTTTAGAGCCACCTTTGTGGCTCACTCACCCCGCGTCCGGCTCTCTGCGGAAAAGAACTCTCAATTTGTAAGGTTTCGGTGCTCTGCCTGGTTCACCAAGCATCACATCTCCAATCTGCTCATCAGCAGATGGCCCCAAGTTGATGAACTCAAATCGAGTTGGCCGCGGTCTCATCTGATCAGGGTCTATGAGCGACCTGTAGTAATTGCATGCCCGGCCCATATGAGGAAACTCAATCTCAATTTGATTGCATAGCTGTTCAAGCTCTTTGCACCGCTCTGCGTCCAGGTGTGGGCTAACCACTGGGAGATCTGAGTCAGGATTTGCAATGCGCGTCCAAAAATGTCTCGTTGAAGCCAAAAAGCCCTCTGGGTATATCAGCAATGGATCCTGACTCAGATGGTCGCTGCTCATGCGAAGCTTGGTCAAGGCAAAAATATCTTTGTCTTGACCACCATTCCGTAGGCGAATCGGAAGGCGCTCTTCTGTTGGAATCAATCGCCCATGGCTTGGCATATCTGTCAGGGATAAATCGGGATGAAGCAACTACCGCACAGAAAAAGCAGAGGAGCTGACAATTGAAACATTTCCCAACTTCCAGCCTTGTCGTCTGATGAATGTGAACTGCTGTGGAACGGCCATTCTTTCTTCACCATCCTTCTGCTTGCGGTCTTTGTAGGCGCCATAGAGGTGCACATTGTTGGGCATGATTTTGTTCCAATCGTGTACCTGGGTGGAATGGCGCTACAAGGGTTCTTTATCAGTACTCAGGTCTTGTATTCAACACACGAGTTCACAAGGCCAGTAACAGCTTCCAGCAGTTCTACTCGGCATTCCATGCCACTTCTCTGGAACATTGGCGCCACCCGATTCTCCAAAGCCCTCAGGGGAACTTGCAGGCAAAGACATTCAAGTAAGAGAACACATTGCAGGCAAGCATTGCCAGCCGAGGCCTGATGACGTCTCGTGGAGACTGCAGGTCGGAACAGGCATTCAGCGCCGCGGTGACCACTGACAGCGCTGCGTCTCAGGGCATAAGTTCAAATCGGACAAAGTGCATAAGTGGGTGTCCAGCCCAAACTTGTTCAACTCACACCCTGCCTACGTCCTCGTGAGTGTGTCCCTTTTCCAAATGCGCTGCAGTGGTTTGACGGAAGAAACCTCCTTGCAGCAACAATACCATCAGCCGGTGCATGGATTCATTCCTGACCTCTTTCACGGCGTTATCGCCTTGTAGCCAATACCTGGGCAAGAATCATGGAGTGCAGAAAACGGTTGGCGTGCACGTGCTGAACATTGCTTAACACTTGGGCTAGTGTGGACTAAGGATGATGCTCTGTTGGAAACACGAGGCCTTGCCGCCTTGAATGTTGGAAGGCATAGTCAATGCTCTTCAAAGCCTTGCCCCAAAACACATCAAACCACTGCAGCCGATGCAATGAAGTGAATGTGCAGAACATGGTTGGGCCAAGTGGCGATTTCCACACTCCAGTTGCCACCAGTGCGCATGGACTCATGCGATAGAAAAAAGTAGATACCATAGCCATGGACTATGCTTGCTGTGAGGGTCAAGGATGTGCCTTGGATGCATCACCGGATGAATCAATATGGAAACAAAGCACAGTAAAGCCTGTTGATGCACAATGATACAAACAGAATTGCTGCAAAGTGTCGCCTCAAGGAATCGTACAGTGATGACTTCGGGCTGCGCTTGTTGACCCATCTGGGCAAAGTGCATTTTGCCTTGCCGTAGCTGTCAATTATGCAGCACAAAATGTCACGCTCAATGCGGCTTCTGGATCTAGCCATCCAGTAAACAGCTCTGTCCCTCCACTGCGCCATGTAGTGGGAGAGGAGCTGTGAAGATAGTTTTGCACGCTCGATGAAGTCCTGATCTCTTTGATCAACAAATGAACCCTGTCAACCTTCTTCTAAACATCAACAAGTGCATAGTGCATAGATGGAACAATGCTAAGTCTCTTTGGCCTCTGCCAGTCGTGACTTCAAGGACAGGCAGGTTGTGCAAGCAGAGTGGTTCGACTGCTTGTGGAAACGAAGGCAAGCTTTCCACTTCTGAGCAACTGTGTAGAAGATGCTCCGTCCTGCCGGCTCCTGCCCCTCTACAGCATTGCTGTACGCGCAGTACAAAGCAAACAAACAGCTCAAGTTTCCATGGGGAAGAAACTTTGGTGGAAGCTGCGTTGGATTGCAGTAGAAGGAAAGCTGTAAGGTTGCTCCTGTCAGCTTGTGGTCCACAAGCTTCTGGAGAAGCTCCTCCTGAAGCTTGCCATCATCCTGCTCCAGCATTGATTTTGCAGAGCCCCTCAGGTATCTGTTGGCACAACCTTGAAAGATTCATGCAAACATGCAAACATGCTTTTTGCCAAGTTGGGTGAACAAAAACGCTTCAGCCAAAGTACATTGTTGCCACAGACTCCCCTGACGACCAGTACAGGTTTATGAAGAAGGCTTTAACGCTGGCTGTCTTAAGCGCCGGCTTCGTGGCAGGTCCTCACAAAGGGTTTGCTCCTCTTGCAGTGAGTGGGCCTACTCTGGAAACAATCAAGGATTTAGACGAGCATCCACCAGCACCACCAAGGGTTCTTTTGTCGAGACCGTGGTGGTTCCGCTTGCATCTCAGGAGCCGTCCTTTTCCAATCCCAATATATCTCAGAAAGGCCTCGCGGCAAAGCCTGTGTCCTGGCACAAGTTACAGGGTTCACTTGGACTTGGGGCATTGAGCAGTTCGGCCAATGTTGCATTCAAAAACCATCAAAAACCTCTCCTTCAATCTCCCAATTGTTCTTTCTTCCAGCAGCGCAAGATTGTAGCCCCCACAAAACAGTATCTTGAGAAGATTTGGGCAGCTTCCAAAAGACTTTGCACACTTGGGCCAAGTCACGAAGTGGGAGGCGGCAGCCACACTCACAAACTCCATTTTTGAGGGCCAGCTTCATTCTGTTCAATGAAAGGCCCTCTTGTGCATAAGCTGAGATATGTGCATCTTCCAGCGAGGAGATAGCGTGGAGGGACTCAAGGTGAGTGGACGTCAAAGAAATTATTCCCAATCCTTTGGGCACTTCATCACTTGACTCATCCTGAGCACCGCTAGCTTCTTCATCATCACTATCATCCAGCGAAGAGTCGGCGCTTGTGTCCCCTGACCTGAGCAAACCCGTCCACACAAACGCAAGCCTTGTGCGCAAATGATGCGTTGACAAATGTCGGACAAGAAACCCTGAGCTTGAGCTGGAGTCATCATAGCGATTTAAAGCCGTTTTCAAAGGCACTGCGCTCCCATGAGATGAATCCGAATCAGTGTCTTCCCACCGCTGCAACACTGGCATCGGCTTGAACAAGCAGCACTAATATTGCACTCACTGTAAAGCCCATCATGCGTTTGTCATGGACACAACAGGCCATCAGTGCAAATGCTGAAGCATTCCGAAACAACAAAGACTGTTATTTTCATCTCTGGAATCCCAGCTATCCAATCTCTAACTCTAATTGTGTCTTCCACTGAGCATCCACATAATCTTCTGTGGAGAAGTGGCTGACAAAGCAGCGCACAGTGCGGGCGTAATCGCCCGCAGAGCCATTGCATTTCCACCAATTCCATGCTGCTCCTTAATAGCAAGCAATCAAACTCAATTTGGTTGCACGGCGGGTATATGAAGAAAACTATTTTTGGAAAGCTTCTCGATTGGTCAGCATCGTGGTGTCATAGCGATGAATTGGCATTCCCATCAAGAGAAGCACCTCCTTTCCGACCAAGTAGCGGCCAGCTCGAGTAGATAGAAAGCTCCCATTTGGCCTCAGAGGTGAATGTTTTTTTGTTCTTAAGGCAATGTTTGTTTTTAACATGCTTTAACTTTCTTGAACCTCATTATAGTTTTCATGGGCCCGATACGTAAGGCACATCATGGGCTCTTTGTCATTCTTGATTGGCATGTGCGTCAGGTTCTGGGAGGTGTTCGCAACAAAGTCCGTCTCATGACCAGAGGCAGTGAGAAGATCCAATGCCTCCAGGGTGGTCAAACAAAACAAAGTCCATGGTCAAAGGGGGCCGCACAAGAAACAAACATGGTTCCTCCATCTCTCTGTAGGTGGTCACCTTTGAAGCCGCCCGTGGCCATCGCTTGGCGAAGGCACCCTTGGCAGCCTTGATGCTCACCTGTTGGAATGCTTGTACTGTTTGAATTATTTGAATGTAGATGAGAAAAGCAAGACACATCAACTTGCATTTTCACCTTGTTCTCCTTGGCCCACCGTCGATGTCTCATGAACCACTTGCTCTTCCGATTGACTTTCCTACAGGATTCAAACATGACGACTGGTCCAAGAGTTGTTTTTTTTATGTTTTTTGTCTCAAGCACTGTTTGTGACAAGCTTCCGCTTCATCGCAGCAGTGCGGCGCAGGGACCTGGATGCCTGATCGCGTCGAACTTCTGGGTGGGTGCCAGGAAGTAGCATCCCCAACCTGAGTATGGGCTGGCGGTGCATTGGTGCATCATATGCCATCATTATTCTGATTCATGTTCATTCATCATGTTGATTCTTGGTTCCCACCCGTGCAGCTATGGAGCCAAGTCTTTTCTGCTGGCATGTGCATTTGCTTCAGTTTCTTGGAAATGAAAGCATCCAGTGGTTGAGACATGGCCTCATCATTCAGGACCTCCTTCTTGATGAGGAAAATGAAGATCCGCCTCCTGCTAATTGGGGCGCCAAAGCGGGTCCTGAGACCAATCAGAATCAGAACCCAAAACAACACATTGCCCCTGTGTCATGCATCCAAACTGGAACCCTAAAGCTGGCAGGTCACGGGTTGATAATCACCCCCTGAATCGCATACCTGGAAGTAGAATCCATCATGCATGCATCCCTTTGATTGAATGTGTGTACTTTTTACATGCCAGGGGGCTCCGGCAGATTCTTGTCCATGAAGGCCATGCACTTGTCAGCCACCCTCATGAAGCCCATCACATTCTCTAAGAGGGCAACCTTGGAAACAGGGTTCAATCTTCACGTCAATGCTCAAAGACGGTCACAGAAGTGCATTCAAGCAACAGCCGGTTGTATGGTTTTGATGTTGGAAACTGTCTTGTAGAATTGGCGAGCATTCCTATCTTGTAGCACATTGGAGTTCCAGTGCAATAAACTGAACGGGGTGCATGGGAATCCTGTGGTGTAGACAGCCACCTGCACAGACTCAGAACTCATGCCTGATACAGTATTGCGTTTTGAACCAGAGCCGGTGCCTTACCCCGTAGCCAGGCCACATCCTTCTTGAACATGTTGTCGGATAGCCTTGTTAGAACATGTGTAAATCAACATGTTGTGGAAAGCGTGTTGCTAGCGTGATAAGATATGACAAACATAGTGCTAGCAAAGGGGCTGCCGGCATTGAAAGTTCTTCTTCAAGAACTTGTAGGGCGCTGCTTTGATCTCACTGGATGACCTAGCAGGAAAAACTTATCAACATGCCACAATATATGAACCGTATGAACTCTCGGTGGGTAGACCTAAGTATTGCACATGTATTCCAAGAAGTCATTGCCCTTGCCAGCAGCTTCACAAAGCATTTGTAGGGCCATCATTGGCGTTTCCGCCCCGCTGCCTAAAGAGGTCATGAGGCAAGAGTGAAAAAGGCAGCTTGGGAATTAGTCAGTCAACAGTTGAACAGTTGAATTAAGTTCTGACCAGGGGCAATCCGAAGCAAACGTCAGCTTGACATGCTGTCACCACCCATCAAACCACCATTGCAAGCCAGATTTCTCTAAAAAAAGGCCGCCGATCTCAAGGAAGTCAATGACTTGAGGATCCAGCGGCTCTTCTGAATCCGATTCTGATTCCTCTGTCGAGGAATCAGAGTCGGAGGTGGACTCTGACTCCGACCATCTCCTCTTCATTGCCCTAAGGCCACTTTGAGCCAAAGAAGTCTAGTGGAACCACCTCCATTCCCAAGACCTGGTTCCAAAATAGAAAAGACCCAGTTGTAAGTGGATGAGATTTTGGGCTTCTCCTCAGTCTCAACTTTCTTGTCCTCCTTGGCCTCAACTGGAGTAGGGACTGTCTCCAAAGGCTCCTTCACCACCTGCTGGTCCGCGTGGTCCTCCTTCTTCACCTCCACGAACTCCTTATTGACCTCCTTGTCGCAACCAACAGGGGCCACAGGCTCCCCGCACGCTGTCTCCTTGGCCTCGATTGGTGGTCCGCTTTCACGAAGTTCCTGTGCCAGGACAGGAGCTGCCTCCTCGGCAAGGTCAGTCAAAGCTCCCGCGCACTCACGCAAGGCAGTGAGGACCGCACTCTCCTGCCGTTTGGAGGAGACCACCCTCGATGATCTCTCGCACTCGGCGGACCGTGCGGCAGACCTGACAGGAAGGGGAACCTTCGAAGGTGAGGCACGAGCCGCACCGCATCCACTCCTGTAAGCCAAAACGCTATGGGACCAAGTAAGTGCAATGCTTCTTAACCCACGGGGGCGTAGGTACATAGATAGATATATTTAACTAACTAATAAGATGTATAACTAAGCCCAAAACGGCTGATTGGTTTTCTGCCTTTTCTGCGGTTCACCTTAATGTCGTGATCCGTACGTGATAATTGAGACACCAAACTTGGATGCCAGTTGCAGCTAGTCTTTCCACATCTTCTCTTGGTGGAAAGTCGGCTCGAGCAGCTCCCAGCATCACATCAGCACGAACTGGATCGGTCTGACGAACAGCATTGGCACGCGCCTCGAGGGCACCACGACGGGTTTTTCGACCAGCCCACATGGTTGGCACCATGTATAGCACCAAACCCCGCACGCAGCGTGGCGAGAGGAGAGCCGCCCAAACCTGGAGGAATATCAACACCGTCACGTCACACCATTTTATTGCTCAGCTTGCTATATCTGAATCTGACCATATCTAAGAACGACCCTCCATGACCCTCCCATTACTGCCATTCCTGCGGTGTTGGTGCAACTCTGACTCTTTGTGCGTCCAAAGTGCTGCAGCTGCCGCCCCCATGCTGCAACCACCCAAAATGTAGCTGGGGGCCCAAGGCTTTACTAAGGCGGCCGTATGCGCCAGAGCCACTTGCAACATGTCTGAGCCTAAACATCTCCAGTGGAATTGGTCAGGTCCACCTCCTTCCCAGCCAGAGCTCGCCCCATGGCCACGGGCATCGAACAACACAATGCTGAGAGCACTGTGTGCGATGCTGGCCTGAACGCATGGACACCAGTTGCCACCCTAAAGTCATCAATAGTTGTCCAGAACCTAGGATCAGAACAACACACCCCGTCGATGCCTTCTGCAAATTCACATTGGCTGATGTCTCATCATAGTGACTCATCCTGCAAACGTTGCGTGCCACGCTTGAATCAATTCTCGCTATGAAAGTGGAGATGTTTCTGATGCATTCTGGAATTGAATGTCCTCTCCCCCAGGCCATGTAGAAAAACAAACAAGGTCGAAGCATCTGACTGGAGATCCTGGCGTCCAAAGAAGCAAATGTCTACAGGAAGCCTTCACCTCACTGACCCCCCTGAGGAGGGAGGGGACGAAAGCCAGCCTCCACAAGAACACATCAATATGGTTATGAGGGGTGAATTCCAGAGCGCACTGGAACCACTGTCAGGCATGGGGAAATAGAAGGCAGAGGTGGGAAGTCGCAGTAAGGGCTGATATGACAGGCCCTCATTCACAGGTGGGGGGGGTAGGGTGCCCCGTTTCTTTTTGCTCAAGGGGCTTTTTCAAAATAAAAAAGGGCACCCCTAAGTAACTGAGGAGCGCTTGCCTGCAGTTTGTTTGTCTTGTCTCGAGGATGGATTCATAAAACCGGCCTGGTGCTAAGACTGGACCGAAGAAAGTTTACTGCCAATATCATGTGATTGTTGAACTTTGGGGGAAGATGACCGTTGTTCTGGGGGGGCGTCGACATTGCAGTAACTGCTGTTGGAAATAGAAAGCAGAGTACATGTTGGAAGGTGCCCCTTTTCCTTTGGTCAAAGGGCGTTGTCAAGCTGAAAAAGGGCACCCCTAAGGAACTGAGGGGCGCTTGCCTGCTGTTTGTTATTTTTGTCCTGTAGATGGACTCATAAACTCGGCGTGCTGCCACGCGTGGACCGATGTTACCTGCCAAGGTCAAGTGATTGTCCAACATCGGGCGAAGAATACGTTGTTATGGGGTGAAGTCGACATTGCAGCCACGCCGACGGGTGGACTCCTTGGGATAGCTCTGAGAGGCCCTTTTGCATCCAATTAATAACAGCCGCCTTCGCCACAACAAGGGGCAACCCCAAGCTTGCTCAACGGACCATTTCCTTGCTTGCGCGTCAAGGACTGCATTCTGTGCCCTCTCCCGTCCTCAACGGATAATATCAATATCGGGTAACATCCTTGCTGACGTTCCCTTGCACTCTATTAGGCACGGGAAAGTGATGATTGAGAGATGCACATCTCACTTTCCTGCTGTGTTTTCAGCCTCTTTTTCTGTCATGTAGAGGTCACGTTCTCTCTACTCTTCTTGCCCACGAGAACACAGAGCGCTGAGCGACGCACTTCTCGCTTCCCTGGTGAGTTCCCCACTTCTTTTCCTATCACGTCCTCCCCCACTACGCCGGTCCTCATGTATGAACTCCCACCCCATATGGGGTGCCCTTTTGCGTCTGGTTAACAGGCGAGCTTGCCCACTGCATTCTGTTCCCTCTCCTATCCTCAACGGGTCGCATCGTTTCTTGCACCTTCACTCATTTTTTCCACGAGAAAACAGAGTGTTGGGAGACGCGCGTCTCACTTTCCTGAACAAGCTCCAACCACTTTTCATGTCCCGTTGTCAAGACTGTTTAAATAGCCTCCTGGTCCCCTCATGATGCTAACGATGCACTCTTCGGCGTCGATTACATCACTTGCGTCACAACACACCAAAAAACAATACATGTTCACAGCTTTATTCTTTTATGGCTCTAACCAAAATTGTTCCCCTATGCACCCCCCCCAACACTCCCTTTTATAATACAGTACTCACTTCGTTCGCCCATCGACAACTCCAGCCTAGCCTATCGGCGGGCTTTCGTAATAATGAAAAGTACATATTTCTCTTTCTAAAGTGCTCCAGGACTAAATACAGTCCTAATTACCTTAGGTCCTACCAAAGCCTAGAGGGCTTGGATCCATTTAGAAGCATTTGGTGTCCTTGGCACCGGCCAGGCGCTTGCTGGGAAGCAAAGTACCATCACATGCTCTGATCGTCTGAGACGTCATCTGATCACTGGGAGCGACTCCAGATTCAGCAGAACCCATGGCTTCAAAAATCTGACGTTTGCTGGAAGCACCCGCCAAACCCAGCAGGCAGCTGTGCGTCGGAAGAGGCACAATGAATTGATTTGGTACGATTTGGCACCAGGGCACAGGGCCGGGCAAGCTACAGTAAACTGTAAACAAAATATCAATCTGCCAGATAGATTGGATTCCGAACAAACGCCTGCTTAAAATCAAGTTCTAACTCTAGACCCAAAGTGCCTCGTAAGGCATCACTCTTTTGAACCAGTCCAGCACATCGTAGTAGCCCCAAGGATCTTTATGTGGAATGAATGCCATGGATGCTGGTGCGCTAGATCAAAAATGACCGCGCTTGCATTCCAACTCTTGCAAGTCATCCGAGAAAACCGCATAAAGAACAATCAATGAGGACCAGCACGTGAAGACCGTTAAACCGTTCAACATTCCAAAAAGCTTCGAAAACCTTTGTTCAGGCGTCAAAACTTGCACCTGCCCAGCCTTCAGCTGAACCTGGCCAGCAGCGATGCAGCTGACTACTAAAACAAGCGACATCTGAAACGAGTTCTGAAACAAATGAACGTAATATGATCGCATATACAGTGGCTACATTCATATTTAGGTCCAGAATTCATCATGCACCCCCCACAGGCTTGGCAGTGCAAAGCGAATAAACCTAAACCCGCATGATCCCTGGCTGATTGGTGGGGGCGGATGGTGCCATCTGACGGCAAAAAGTTCCTACAATAGGCAAACGTATTGTTCTCATCATTGCAGCGAGTGGCAATGTATAATGGCCACCATAATCTGCAGGCCTGGCAACTTCGAAAAAAGAATCCCCCGACACGGGGAGAAATGGCTTTAACTGTGCCGGATGGAAAGAACATTATACAATTGATACAATCACAACGACTGCAACCCCGCTCTCTTTTGATGTCTTTCAAAGTTGAACCATGTTCGTGAGCTAATGCTCGCGCATGCTTCCATCACTTCCAAGCCAATTTGCTTCCACCATTTCTATCGTGTGCTACAATTCTGTCTGGCTGGCCCAGGAGATGTCTCTCTAGTCTCTTGTGCTCGTCCGCGCATAGAATAGCCCTCAAAAACGGTTCGTTGCATCATGTTTGACAAAAAGCACAGTTTTGCTCTCGTGTTCAAATCGCTTGGGCATACCGTCCGCAAAGTGAGTATGATTATTGGTGCTGACGCTGGCGGAGCGTTCAGAAGACACATTACCGAAGCTGTTCCTGATCCTGATGACACCTTCCATGCCGACAAATTGCAGGGCCACTTCCTGCAACCGTCTTCTCGAGAGCAATCCTTTTCAGAAAGGTATTTGGTCTTACAGTAACCTTCTGGAGGCAATTCGTCTTGTGAAAGCAATTCGCCTTCGGAAGTTTCAGTCAGAATATGTCCCCGGAATTCTTTTGCGGAAGCCTTCTTTGTCTGAGTCTGGCAGTGGAAAAGTGGTACCCGCGCAGCAAGTGTAAATATATACTGTAATGCTAGTTGCAATTTCAAAAAATGTGTTGAATTCTTCTTCTGCACGTCTGCAGTAACTCCTTGCCGCTCTTAGGTGCCCAACTGGCATGCGCTTCTTGGTACTCCGCGTTGCTGCAACTGTGTCATATGCTGCTGGACCAGGTGTTGCAACAGGACCTGGGCAGAAGTCATTCAAGCACAACTTGAATAGTCTTCCTTCAAATCACTGAGCTAGAAACAAGTTGTTTCCATGTGTTTATGACACTCAGATTTACTGTGAAGCAGGTTATTTGGCACCCAGTCTGCAGTTTCAGCTCTCTGCTGAGATCACTGACCTGACTTCGAGGAACTATCTGGAATACTTGGCCTCTTGAAAGTCACGAGCAAACAGTTTGAGTCAGACTGCAGAAATCCGAATGATGCTGTGGGCTGTATGTAGAGTAGACTGCAAAGAAGTCTTTGATACGCAGCCTAGTCCACTTGTGAGCCACTAATGCATTGAAATACTCGGACCACCATCCCGCCACCATTTCGACAAAACCGCAGATGCATGTTGGTGCATATCAAATAAAACCACCAAATATTCAAACATACAACCAAAAGGCCGTGCATCAAACAAGCACACCTAAACATGTGTTGCAAACATTGTACAAGAGTAACATGTTGGCGCACACTTGCCTGGAAGTGGTAACAGCAGCACGTTGGAATTGATGGCCCTTGGTAAGACCTTGACGAGAGGTTGAGATGTGCGGTCTGTGTGCTCCGCAGAATCGTGCGCAAATGTACTACATATTCAAACATGCAATTAGAATGTGGCATAGCTTGGATGCGCTTTTGAGAGGCAAGTTGCTTAAACAATGAGAAGGATTCCGGAGGGAATCCGACACAAATCCTCTCAAATCTATCAAGCTGAGCTTTGTGGCTTCTCACCGAGGTTTCATACCTCACACACATGACGTATTCCATCGGTGTTGCAGTCCTTTGTGGAGCTCTCTGACTACAAAGTCCCATGACAAGACATAAACTTACAGCATGTGCTCGAGATCAAAAATTAGTTGAACAAACCTGCCAACATTTTTCACATGTTCATTATGTCTAATTCATTTGAGCGGTGCTAACTAGTAAGTTGAGGCAAATCTCAAATAGGCCAAAAACTTCAATGTTTGTTCAAAGTATATAGTTTCATACAAATTTCAAGCCGTTGTTGGATCCAGAACTCAAAACTTACGAAATTATTGCTCGTACCAACCGCTGGAAAAAACATGTCCCAAAATTGATTTTGCTGTGCGTTTCCTCCGTTTTTTGTTGTCCTTCACATCTTGTAGTAACCACCACCACCACCACCAAATCATTGCCCCAAACATCCCCAAACAAATTGTAAAGAAGGTTGTCCACAAGCACCTCGGGATTGAACCATGTATATGATATATATATATATTTAATTAATGGTTGTGGGGGATGATTGGGCGAATGTTGAGAGCCCCGAAACGAATTTTCTGATTTCCTTCTGCCTTCTGCATTGGAAATACTGCGTGTTCTTTCGCTTCAAAATCAAAAAGATCCTTTGCATTTCTCGGTGCTTCCTTCAGAGAACGCATGCCAACTGAGTGAGAACTGCACACGCCTGCCTGCCTGAGTTGTCTTACCGCTAGTGCTACTTCTGCTACTTGCACCCCCGCTACCACCTGGCCACACGCTCTGCAAGTGTTTTGTTGCCAGGGGTTGTATGTACAAATCAAAGCCCTATTGGAAAATATGAGTTCCGTGTGCACCTGGAAAGGTGCAAAAAATACTCATAAACTGCATATAAGCACATAAGACATGCAAAGTGATGTCAATGAATTTTAGAGTTTCTGGTTTTGGTTTGTGTGTGTTTTTCCCGAGAGCATCTGCGAAGGGTTCTTCGTAAAAAGACATCGGGCAACCTTTTTTTTTCACCCTCAACCTTTCTTTTTCACCCTCAGAACCTGTTTTTTTCACCCTCGAACCTTCTTTTTTCACCCTCTACCCTTTCTTTTTTGACCCTCGACCCATTCTTTTTCACCCTCCTTCCTTTGCTTGGTGTGTTGGTTGGCTAGCTTGTTGTACTGCAAACCAAATATCGACAGCTTTTGGGGAAAACACAGGGTTGCGCGGTTTTGGTTGATTGGTTTGTTGGTTGCTCGGTGGGCTACCAATGCAAAGCAAGTATCGACAGATTTGGGGAAAACACAGTTTGGTTGCTACCCTTTCTTTTTTATCCCACTTCCTTTGGTTGGTGTGTTGGTTGGTTCGGCCTGCTTGGCTTGTTGGTTGCTTGGATTTTGGGAAAACACAAAAAGCGATGGATGGATCATGGACAGGGAGAAAATAAAACTTTTTGGTGGGTTGGTTGCTTGGTTTGCTTGCTGTTGGTTGCTTGCGTGATACAGTGGATGGATGGATGGAGGGATGGATGCTGTGTAGATAAAGGCGGGACGGGGTGCGGGGGAGGGCGCAGCGCCTTCCCCGCAATGCAAACCAAGTACCGACAGCATTTGGGGAAAAACAGGGTTGCGTGGTTTGGGTTGCTTGGTTTGTTGGTTGCTTGCTTGTTTGATGGGTGGATGGATGGATGGTCCGTAGATAATGGCGGGCGGGGATGGATGCATAAATGGATGGAGTGTAAATAAAGGCGGGAGGGGGTGCGGGGGAGGGCGCAGCGCCTCCCCCGCAATGCGAACCAAGTATCGACAGCATGTGGGTTCACACAGGGTTGTGTCGTTTTGGTTGCTTGGTTTGTTGGTTGCTTGGTGGGCTACCAATGCAAAGCAAGTATCGACAGCATTTGGGGGAAACGCTTGGTTGCTTGGTTTGTTTGCTGCTGGTGGGCTACCCACCCTTTCTTTTTAACTCTCCTTCCTTTGGTCGTTGAGTGGTTGGTTCAGCCTGCTTGACTTGTCGGTTGCTCGCCTTTGGAGAAGACACATACAGTGATGGATGGATCATGGACAGGGAGAAAAATGTTACTTTTTGGTGCGTTGGTTTGCTTGCCGTGATTGCTTGCATGATACAGTGCTTGATGGATATGCAATGTTTCTGTTTGTGTGCTTGGTTGATGGATGGATGGATGGATGGATGGGTGGATGGATGGACGGACGGACGGATGGATGGATGGATGGATGGATGCTGTGTAAGTCAAGGCGGGAGGGGGTGCGGGGGAGGGCGCAGCGCTACGGGATGGGCGGCTTTGGTCGCTTGGTTTGTTGGTTGCTTGGTGGGTTTGTTGGCTTGGCCGCGTTGTTGCTTGGTTGGTTGGTCGGCTGGTTGGCACTCCGTTGATGGATGCATGGATGGACGGATGCTGTGTAAATGGGGAGGGCGCAGCGCCTCCCCTGCAATGCAAACCAAGCCTCCCCCGCGCGGGATTTCGAATAGTACCTACAACACTTGGAGAAAACACGGAGTTATGTGGTTCGGTTGCTTGGCTTGTTGGTTGCTTGGTGGGTTTGTTGGCTTGGCCGCGTTGTTGCTTGGTTGGTTGGTTGGTTGGCACTCCGTTGATGGATGCATGGATGGACGGATGGATGGATCCTGTGCTGCCTCACGTTCCGGAGGCGTCCGGGTCAGTTTCCGGCGGTTCCCGTCGTTCCGGACAGTCTCTACGCAGTTTCCGGAGGGTTCCGAAGGGCTAGTAACAAGAAGCTATTGGGGTGGAAAAAGGGTTTGGCAGATGCAGGGATAAGCGGTGTGAAACAAACCGGAGGTGACATCGTTCTCTGCGCAGGTTCCATGGGATACCTGCTTCACCGGCGGAGGGTTGAAAAGAAAGGGTCGAGGGTGAAAAACAAAGGGTGATGGGTGAACAAAAACAAGGTGAAGGGTGAAAGAAACATGCTACAGGGTGAAAATGACAGGGTGCACGGTGAAAAAAAAAGGTTTTGGGAGGGTGGAAAAAAGGTTCCAACGGGTGGGAAAAAAGGAATCTTGAGGGTGAAAAAAAGGTTTCGAGGGTGGGAAAAAAAGGGAGGGTGAAAAAACATTGTTCGAGGGTGAAAAAAAAGGGAGCCCAAAAACATCTGTAGAACTAGCATCTACATCTTCACATCTTCACCTCTGCACATCTAGATTTTCACCTACTTTGGCGGACTGACAGTTAGAATACGTTTTTTTTAAAATGCAGTTAGAATATGGTTTTACATAAAGCCTGGGGGAGGCTGGAGACCACATGCAGTTAGAATATAAAGACACAAAGAACCGAATACTGTAAACAATCTTATCAAAAACAAGCGCGGTGATTTGCAGCAAGTATATAAAATGGACTGCAAACTGGTACTGCGCTGCTGAGCTTTTGCAAGCCTACACTCCAGAAGCACCTGCCTCAAGCGCTCTCGCCTCTTAGGTTGGAGGCCATCACTCTTAGGGTGGAGGCAGTTGCCATTGCTATTAGGTTGGAGGCCATCGCTCATAAGTTGGAGGCCATTGCTATTACTGTAGGTTGGTTGGAGGCCATCGGTCTTAAGCTGGAGGCCATCGCTCGGCATCGCTATTAGGTGGCCATTGCTATCAGGTTTGGAGGCCTAGCTTTGTCTCTGCAAGGTATCCTGGTTTGGGACTGGCAGTTAGAATATGTTGGAGGCCATCGCTCTTAGGTTGGAGGCCATTGCTCTTAGGCTGGAGGCCATTGCATTGCTATTAGGTTGGACGCCATCGCTCTTAAGGTGGAGACCATCGTTCTTAGGTTGGAGGCCATCGCTCTTAGGGTGGAGGCAGTTGCCATTGCTATTAGGTTGGAGGCCATCGCTCATAAGTTGGAGGCCATTGCTATTACTGTAGGTTGGTTGGAGGCCATCGGTGTTAAGCTGGAGGCCATCGCTCGCCATCGCTATTAGGGGGCCATCGCTATCAGGTTTGGAGGCCTAGCTTTGTCTCTGCAAGGTATCCTGGTTTTGGACTGGCAGTTAGAATATGTTGGAGGCCATCGCTCTTAGGTTGGAGGCCATTGCTCTTAGGCTGGAGGCCATTGCATTGCTATTAGGTTGGACGCCATCGCTCTTAAGTTGGAGACCATCGTTCTTAGGTTGGAGGCCATCGCTCTTAGGGTGGAAGCAGTTGCCATTGCTATTAGGTTGGAGGCCATCGCTCATAAGTTGGAGGCCATTATGCTACTTTCGTGAGGGGGGTGCTTTCATGGCTTGGGGTGTTTGGTGAACATGGGCCTGGTGCTGGGTGGTTCTGATGCTTCTCGGTATCCTGGCGCTGGGTGGATCCTTTGTTGTGAACATGGGCCTGGTGGTAGGTGGCTCTGATGCTTGTCAGCATCCTTTCAAGGTTCACAAAGTGCTGCGCCTGCCACAAAAGGTGCACTTAGAACATGGGCCTGGTGGTGGGTGGTTCTGACGCTTGTCAGCATCCTTTGTTGAGAACATGGGCGTGGTGGGCGGGCGGGTGGTTCTGATGCTGTTCAGCACCCACTAATGGGCTGATAACTTTTGGATCACGGTATCAGACAAGCGCTTGCAAGAGGAAACCTGCAACAAACTCCGATCGTTCCAGAGTCTCGATCAGGGCCATGAGTCTCGATCCAGGGGATTTCTTTTAGTTCAGGGTTTGGGGCGATCCCATTGAGCCAACATACACTACAAGAGTTTTTCAATATTTTTTAAAACATTAGTCCTTTAAGGCCCTATGGTTTCTACAGCAAGAACCCATTATTGCCGACGGTCGGTTTCGGTTTGTTTATTTGTTACAGCTACTTGGCACAAACTGTTGGTGAACCGCCAACATAAAAGAGTAATGTGTTGCTTGAAAATGTGCATACAAAATCAGAACTGAACTAATGATTTGACAAACGGAAACATCAATCATGTCGCGCCGTCCTGCGCAAATTTCACTGTAACTTGAGACCCTCTGGACATTGGCGATGTTTTTGCTCTTCAATTCAAGGTCAGCCGCACAGCGATCATAGGGCTGGGCCTCCGATCG